CCAATAAAACCTAACATACTGTACGCCTTCTTAACAACGCTATCAACATGGGTGGCAACTTTCAGTGATCTATGCACATGGAAGTTGCTCATAAGGTGCAACTCCTGATCTCTCTCCCGCAACTCAACTACTCCACAAGCCACCAAGCAAACCTTAGCCAACTTTCTGAGGAAATCTGCAATTTCCCCTGTAGCAAAAACCCGGGCACCAGTTACATTTGTCCAAATTCCAGACTTTTCTGCACTCCATTGATGGTTTGGGATGTTACGGGGATAGAGCATGCACTGTGGCGAAGCATTGTCTGGAATTTTTTTACTTTGGCAAAGTCCTGTGTTTGTGCTTATGGTTTGAAGCTTTCCTGAGCAAGGGAGTGTTACTGTTTGCAGCTGATTTTAACCTCGAGTCGGATTATCTCTGTGTAATCCCCAATTAGTAACCAGTTGAGTGGCAGGAATATCTAGCAGATTTCCAGCTCTAACCAGTCTGTTACGTGTGTGTTTTCTGAATCACCGAGGACATTCTGCAGCACAGGATTTACTGAAAACTCCCACGTGAGTGTGTGGTTGTGTACAATATTATTACGGAGGTGACACTTGAATCAGTGCTGGACATTGTCCATTTGATCCAATGCTGCAAAGTGGAGCATTGTGGAATGCAGGAGAAAGCTAAACACGTTGCAGAACATTGTGTTTTTAAAACATTCTCTGTCCAATGCTTGTTTTACCTGTTCTTTCCTAAATCGAAAACACCCTTGTGAAGTGATGTCCACAAATGGGCAGCAAGATGGCAGTGTTTAGCACTGCTGCCCCGCAGCACCGGGGACCTCGGTTCAATTCCAGCCTTGGGCGACTGTCTATGTGGAGTTTGCATGCTCACCCCATGTCTGCATGGGTTCCTGCCAGGTGCTCCGGTTTAGAACAAAGAACAAAGTTGTGCAGGTTAGGTGGATTGGCCATGCTAAATTGTCCGTAGTGTGCAGGGATGTGTAGGCTAGGTGGATTAGTCATTGTTAAATTTGTGGTTATGGGAACAGGTTAGGGGACTGGGTCTGGATAGGATGTTCTTCAGAGGGTCTGTGCAGATCAAGGAGCTGAATGGCCTCTTTCCGCACTGTAGGGATTCTGTGATACTCCATAATATTTTGTTAGGTGTTGGCATTTGTTCAGTTGTTCCTGAAGGCCATAGTTCTCTTCAGAAAGTGAAACATCAAATCGAAACTAAGGCACTCTCTAAAAGAATTGCTGAGTGGGTGCTGATTGTCGTAGGGACATTGGTTCAAATCCCACCATGGTGAATGGTAAAACTTGAATTTGGTTAAAAAGCTGGAATTTAAAATAGGAGCCAAAAAGGGAACACATTTCTTGTGATGACACGGTGTAGAGCTGGATGAACACAGCAGGCTAAGCAGACCCTTCTTCAGAAAAAGGTCTAGACCCGAAACGTCAGCTTTCCTGCTCCTCTAATGCTGCTTGGCCTGCTGTGTTCATCCAGTTCTACACCTTGTTATCTCAGATTCTCCAGCATCTGCAGTTCCTACTATCTGACACATTTGTAGTGATTTATTGTTATTCGGAATGTACTACCTGAAAGGACGAGGAAGCAAACTCAATTAAAGAGAAAATTAGAATAGCTCTTTCGAAGTACTGGTGCAGACTGAGCTGAATGGCCACCTTCAGCACTTTTAAGATTCTATAATTCTATGAGTAAACTGCTCAGCGTTTCTTAAAATTCATTCACCATCTGCGCCAACATTTGTTACCCATCCCTGGTTGCCCTTGAGGTGGTGGTGAGCTGTTTCTTGAACTGCTGCAGTCCGTGTGCTGTAGGGACACCCACCATGCTGTTTGAGGATTTTGATCCAGTGACATGTAGGGATTGTGTGTTGCTCGGGGGAGAGCTTGCAGGTGGTAGTGTTCCTATGTATCTGTGTCCTTGTCCTTGGAGGTGGTAGAGGCCATGAATTTGAAAATTGCTTTTGAAGGAGCTTTGGCAAGTTGTTGTAGCTCATCTAGGAGACCGTACACACTGCTGTCACCGTGTGATGGCGAGGGAGGGAGTAGAAAATGAGATCAGTATTATATCATCAGACAGTATGTCAGTTATTAGCTTTTTAATTCAGCACATTCTACCATTTTGTATAAAATTACGTGGTGGAATTCTCTTGGGCCATCATGGGATGTCTTCATAATCTCTTGTGGTATTTTTAGTTGGGTTGAAGTTTAGGGACGGATCTGAATTTCCAAACCAATATGAAACATTTTACCATGAATAATGTCAACAATTGAGTTAGCCTGTGTAATCAAAGAAAACGTCACTTTGAGGAGACAAGTGTCTTATTGGAACTTCAGTGTTGACAAAATGAATTTGAATAATTTATAAGTACGTACTGTAAAAGCTAACACTGTAAAGAATTAATTTATACAGATTGATGAGCTACCTCACTAACTTATGGCATATTTGGCCGGTGTGTGCTTACGTGGTTTGGCTATTGACTGACTGGGTAGCACGCAGCTGCAAAAAGGCGAATTACTCAAATTCTTCCAACACCTCACAATAGTTGGATGAAACAATTCAAACAAATGGCTGTGTAAATGATCTGGATTCTGTTACCTTTGTATCAGAGTGACAAAGGCAGTGAGAAGCATGTAACTTCTTTACTCAAACACAGCAGTAATCTGGGAAGGGTGATCTTTCTCCCTTCTCCGAATGATTGTGGTTGCTGAGACAGTTGTACGGTTTTTGTTGGGAAAAGGAATTTGGCACAAGTGTAGGTCAATGGAGTTGAGGTGCAAATCACCCACGATCCAACTGAATGCTGGACCAGGCCTAAAACATGTGTTACCTGCATATAATCTGAAACTAGCTATTTGTCCCAACTAATTGTTGGTGTTTATGTTACGTCAGTAACCCAATCACATTTACACTTGTGGTTTCCATATTCTTGGAATATCTTTGCAGTAAAACCTTCACTTCATTCTCTGTCACCAGTGTGCTGTGGTGTGATACGAGTCTCTGAGCCTTGCCTGATGGAATCTTCCAAATCCATGATCTTTGCCAACTAAAGGGACATAGTTGGTGTCCATGGTGTCTATGTATAAGACCATAAGACATAGGAGCAGAAATTAGGCTTTTCGGCCCATCGAATCTGCTCCACTATCCAATCATGGCTAATAAGTTCCCCAACCCCATTCTCCTGCTTTCTCCCTGTAACCCTTGATCCCCTTGATAATCAAGAACCTATCTATCTCAGTCTTAAATGTACTCAATGACCTGGCTTCCACAGCCTTCTGAGGCAGCGATTTCCATAGATTCACCACTCTCTGGCTGAATTAGTTTCTCCTTATCTCCGTTATAAAAGGTCTTCCGTTTACTCTGAGGCTGTGCCCTCGGGTCCTAGACTCTCCTACCAATGGAAACATCTCCCCAACATCCATTTTGTCCAGGCCATTCAGTATTCTGAAAGTTTCAATTAGATCCCCCCTCATCCTTCTAATCTCCAATCAGTATAGTCCGAGAGTCCTCAAACGTTCCTCATCTGTTAAGCTTTCTATTCCTGGGACCATTCTTGTGAACCTCCTCTGAACCCACCCCAGGGCCAGTACATCTTCCTGAGATATGGGGCCCAAAACTGCACACAATACTCCAAATGTAGCCTGACCAGAGCCTTATAAAGCCTCAGTAGTACATCCCTGCTTTTATATTCAGGTCCTCTCAAAATAAATGCCAACGTTACATTTGCCTTCCTGACTACTGACTCAAACTGCAAGTTTACCTTGAGAGAATCCTGAACTGAAACTCCCAAGTCTCTTTGCACTTCAGACTTCTGAATTTTCTCCCCATTTAGAAAATAGTCCATGCTTTTATTCTTCTTACCAAAGTGAACAACCTCACACTTTCCTACATTGTACTCCATCTGCCACTTTGCCCACTCTCCTAACCTGTTCAAATACTTCTGAAGCCTTGCCACCTCCTCAATACTACCTGTCCCTCCACCTGTCTTTGTATCGTCTGCAAACTTAGCCAGAATGCCCACAGTTCCTTCGTCGAGATCATTAATGCATGAAGTGAAAAGTTGTGGTCCCAGCGCTGACCCTTGTGGAACACCACTTGTCACCAGCTGCCATCCTGAGAAAGACCCTTTTATCCCCACTCTCTGCTATCTGCCAGATAGCCAATCTTTGATCCATGCTAGCACCTTGCCACTAACACTGTGGGCCTTTATCTTACTCAGCAGCCTCCTGTGTGGCACCTTATCAAAGGCCTTCTTGAAGTCCAGGTAGATAACATCTATTGGCTCTCCTTGGTCTACACTGTTTGTTAATTAGAGCATAGAACAGTACAGCACAGTCCACGCCCTTCGGCCCACAAAGTTGTGCCGA